AAAAAAAACAATGAAGTGAGCAATAAGTATTACATAAATATGTAGGAGAGTTATCACAGAAGCATTATTTATAGTGAAAAAATTAGTTATAGTCTTATTAAATCTAACTCCACCATGTAAAAAAAAAAATGATGGGTTACTATCAGTGGGAACAGAAAACAGTATCACTGAGAAGAGATACATGTCAACATTTCAAGTGTTATGTTCTGAGGGGGGCTGGGGATGCATTTCTCGAAGCCATGGTGGCGGATGCTTCTCAATTCACTTTAACAGCTGATACAGTGGTCTCAGTACATGCTGGCTACAATCTCTGGCTGTTGACATGGCAGAAGAAAACAGTGTTATATTCTCCCTCATGTCTGATGCAACAAAGCTTGAGTTCCAACAATGCTGAGGCAGACATTATTATCCTCTTTTTCACAGATGACAAAAACACCCAGGGAGGTTATCTGACCTACCCAAGCTCACTGCTTACAAATGACACTGCGTAAATTTCAAGTCTATGTGACAACAAAATCTGGGAACATTAAACTGCTTTATGTCAATTCCTAAGACTATACAGCATATGATATAATTTGGGGGGTTATGATTCATGATAATAAACTATAAATAAATTAAGATTATATTTGATTTTGAGAGATAACTTCCAAGTATTTTACAACATGATATACTACTTTTATAAAGAGGCTTAGTGGTGCAACAGATAATCCTTCAGATGTCAACCAAAAGATTTCATTACAGCAAGAATTTTTAAACACTGGAAAGATCTACTGAAGCATAATTACAATTTTTTTCTATTCAACTTTCCCACAGTATGGATAATTTCTTCTTTATCTAAAATTGTTTGACAAGTCTCTCATTTATTTAATTGATTAAACAAAATCACCTATTATGACCCTTTCTTGTGCTGTGTTGTGTACCCCTGAGGTGGAACCAACCCATAGACGACCATCCTGTGGGTTTTCAGAGATAGTTAAACACAGGGGAGCAAACTACCCATCTCTATCCCACAGTGAAGCTGATTAATTCAGTAGCATACCTTTGTACTGGTAGTATAATTTCTTACCAGTAAGTGGGGTGTCAGAACCCTTGAAAATTGGCTTTTCTAACCACTGTGTAGCCTGTGTTCTGGGGCATGGTCTCCGGCTACTTTTAACTGTGGACACATGGTCTTGCAAATAGCTATGGGACCAATATAAGAGAGAGTGCTTTTCACACTGTAAGGAAACTGAGGAGACTATGAAAAGAATGTGAAGAGACTGTGACAAGGTTTAACTTGAGGAACCCTGGAGATAGAGGTTGCAGTTAAAGGTTCTGCTTGTTGGATGATTGAAGAAAAACTGATTTACAACTGCTCTGAGATAAAGTTTTATGGATGATTTGAGGAAACCAGAAGCATTTGTATTTGTTCTGTTGAACTGAAACCTGGACTTTCACTAATTGAGGAATTGTGCCTTGTTAATCTGGTTTAGGACTGGTGGACTAAACCTGGACTTGCATTGAGAGATATTCTTTGCTGCTTCCATTCTCCAATCTATTTCCATAATAAACCCCACAACCATGAGTCAAGTCTGTGAGTCTTGAAATGAACATTGGCTTCAATGACTGGTAAAAATAGGTGCAGGAGCATGTGGGGTGACATGTCTGACCATGTAACTATTTGTATGGTACTATGGCTATATCTGATGGGGACAGTTTCTTTTATGAAGTGAATATAAGTCAAACATGGCCATCCCCATGTTACCACTGCTTCTTATACACTAAGCTACTAGAACTCCTTTCCTAGGATTACATAATTATATTTTGTTAACATATAAGAGTATCAATTACATAAGAAACAAATTATAAGAAACATTATGCTGAGTGAAATATCCCAGTCACAAAAGGACAAATATTACATGATGCCACTGTTGTGGAATGGGACTGTCCTTGGGGTTGGGGAGAGGCTGAGTAAGATGGGTTCAATAATGTATACTGCACTGAAACAGAGGAGAGAGAAAACTGTTTAAAAGAGATATATAACTAGGTATTTCTGTCATCACAGGAGTCTAGAGCGAGGGCTACATGGTGGAGGGGACCTGGGGGAGGGTTTGTAAAACAATGAAAGAATCTTTTCTTTTACTTTTCCATAATTTTTGACTCATGTACTTATAACTTGTTAGTCAAATTTGTGTCTTCTAGGTTGCAACACCCCCATGATACATCTTCAAGGATATGAACATGTACGGCCAAGCACAATCAATAAGAGTGCATCTAAATTCCAAAATCAATCTCCATAATAGCCTATGTGTTTCCTACTGCCAAAGGGGCCCTTTAGAGTAGTGAGAGAAGATCTTCACCCTGAAACCCACAGCGTCCCTTTTCAGCAGGAAGTAGCTAAGAGAATACGCCATCCCCTTTTCCTTATGAATCAGGGTGAAGTCTCTCTCAGGGAGGAGTGATAGGGAATGGCAAAGGACACACTGACAAAGAAGATTAATCAGAACTGGCTTTGACAAGCACTGTGGCATTTGGACAAGAACAAACTGGGAGGAGGGTAGAGAGAATAGTGCAACAATGAATGAATGAAAACCCAAAATCTCTGTAAATGTTTATGAAAATTAATAAAATATAATTATAGAAAAAAAAAGAAACAAATTATCAGCCTAGAAGTTATAGAGAAGGAAGTCAAGACATTAATTAATTAATTCATCCATCCAGCTAGCTACCACCTCCTATCAATAATTTATTCTGATGTTAACCATTTGGTTAGATGTCAAGTTATTTATCTGGCAAGTTACCAAGTCAGGAGCCTTATCTTCAAAGAGCTTCCATTTCGATGGTAATTTATTCTTAGCCTAAAGGGACAGGCTATTTTTGAGCCAGTATCACTGTGTTAAAGGGGCAGGGCATTCTCAGGGGTAGCAGTCAAGATAATACCTATTGGGAAGGGAAGACTGGGCTGATTCATCTCAAAACTTCTACAAAGCTCTACTCTCACCTAAGCGAGACAGACAGACAGAGAGAGAGGAAGAGAGAGAGACACAAAGAGAGAAAAAAAGAGAGAAAAAAGAGGCAAATTATGATGCAAGTTTCATGTCATCTACAGGGACTTCTATTTATTTTTTTTAATTTTTATTTTATTTACAAAGTTTGTATACATTGTTTTTCACACCAGATCTTCTCCAATCCCTTCAACCTCCCACCCATAAAATCGTACGACCCTATGATTAATGCTTTCCCCTTGGCTATCCTCAGCCCTCTGGCTCCCACCCTTGCCCCTTGGATCCTCATACTTGTCCTACAATCATGGTCTTATACAGTATTTGGGACTTCTATTTCTTTAAGTTTCTTGGGAAACAGTGTAGATACAAATGGTTGAAAGGACCATCAATAATTTCTAGGAGTTAACTGGTCTTGACTCCTACGGTTAAGAAATCTATTTTTGCCAAGCTGTATCTTTAGGAAGATAATTCTGAGGTTTTATAAATGTTATATTGTAGGTTATGGTTCCAAAAGATATGTAACCACCATCATTTATCATGTGAACACTATAAGGCACACAATTCAATAGAGTTTAACCTCAGAAACTCCTGCTGATCAAGTAATACTGTGTTTGGGGCTCAAAAGTTAGAGAAGTAATATTTGCTTTAAAATACAGTAAGAATTTCCATTTCAGGTACATTTTTAATCAAATTAACAATATCCACCCTTTGAGATCAACTTTACCTTCATATTGTTACTGTTTTGTCCTCTAGTCAGGTCCATCTAGACTATTTAGAACAGGTTCCTAACTTCCCCCAGCCATCAGGAAGGTTATCTGTACATGTTTCTTCAGGTTATCAAATAGATATTAATTTAAAAGTATGCTAAATGTGAGGATTTGGTTAAAATTTTTCTTTGGCTAGATCTTTTAAATTGACTGAAATCATCATGTCTAGAAAAGAAAGAATCTACAATGCATTATGTAGTCAAAAGGCCTTTGCCATATGTTACATATCTCACCTTCGATATAGTCTGGACTGTCCGAAAGTCATAATCACCAGAGGTACATGGAAGGTAGTCAAGACTAGAATGACCTGGGGAGAAACAAAATCTTGCAGTCAGTAGAAGCTGGTCAAAATATAGTTGGGATGTGACAGGATTAAATGAATAGTTGAAAGGATGTTGGTGTGGTCTCCATTTTAGTGTATTTCAAAGGCAAGAAGGAGTTAAGAAGACTTAATGTTCTCAAAACCTTTCATCAGCACTATCCTTACCTTCACTTAAAACAGTGATATAGAACTACATCTTCACACCATAATAAAAGAATGTGACTAATATACATCAGAGCAGTAAAGGACAAATGTGACTTCCTTTTACCCAGACTGCTGTTAAGATGCTCTCAGGCAGAACCCATCTCTCACTGTGCTACAGAAGCCAGACTAGGGTGATGATTAGGAGAATGTTTAACCACCTGCTATGTCACCTATGTCTGTCTGCCCTTTTTCTCTCTGCTAGGAAGATCCTCAACAAGATGGGCAGACACAATGCAGCAATGGGCTAAAGGATGTCAGAGATGGATGATGAGGATGGTACAGGATAGGGTTCAGGCCTGTTGTTCATAGGTTGCTACGAATCATACTTGACTCAGCAATACCTAACAATAGTTCCCCATAAACTAGCTGAAAGAAAGCTGAAGAAAATGAAACAAAGCACACAAGGACCTAGATATGATCTTTCATTTATTCCACCTGAATTTAAACACCATCTCAAGAAAAGACTTGATGCATTTAATATAATGACTGAATACCAGATGAGTTGTGGGATGACATCATACATGAAGAAAGCAAAAGTTCACTGTAAAGGCAATAAAGAAAGAAAAGATCAGGATGGATGTGAGAGGAGACTCTGAAATTTATTCTTCCTAGAGTTACTAAGAGTCAGTCAACTCAATGGCACCTCCCAACATAACCGTTCTTCATGAAATCCTGTCGTTGTTGGTTTTTTCCCCTAAAATTTTTAAGTTTTATTTCATTATTTTGTGTGTGTACCGTCAAATCAGATCTGACGGGTACAGGAGAAAATTGTCCCTCCTTCTCCAGCAGAGCATCTGGTGGAATCAAATTGCGTACCTCTGGGATTGCAGTGCAGCTGAAATCCCATTTTTAAATAACTCTTTTTTTCCAGAAGAAAATATACATAAGGAAAACATTCTGAATAGTTATGTAACCAGAAATCTTGGAGACATTAATTAGCTTAAATAAATGAGTAAAATATGAAAACTGGGATGCAACCCTAAGTTTAGAAGAAATTGTCTTAGAGAAATCTTCTAAAAACACTTCAAAAATTAATAGAAATTTACAATGTGCCCTTTATCATAAAAATTTCTACAGGTTCCTACTATAGCTGGCACATGTCTCAATGCCATGCTACATGTATTCCGGGAACACAGGAAGGCATGAGATGGGGCCCATATCCTTGTTCCGGCAGGATGATAATGGAATCTGGGAACACAAAGTCTTGTACCAAGATCTCAGGCTAGTGCATACTCAATGCACCTTGCTAATGGAAGACCAGTTACAAGGAGCTCACTGACTCTTCTCCCACATCCCAGTGCTGGAAGAGCCAATCACAGATGGAGCTGAATGACTCTGAGCCTGTAAGAGCCATAGGCTCTCAATATGAGCTGAGTTTCAGACACACGAACAATGCACTTTGGAGTAATGCCAATGTGGTAAGTGCACACTTTTCCACTCCTATGAGGGGCTTTTTCAGGTATTGTGAAACTCCCTTCTCAGTATATAGCACTCTTCTCCCTCTTCCTTCTTGTTCATCTTTATGTCAAGCACCAAGGACAATAAAGATGCCTATTTTCCTATTATAAAAAGAAGTGGTTTTAAGAGTTCTAAAGCTAAAACAAACCAACTATAGTTGCCTAAAAGTCTAGCCAGCAAACATGTAACTGCAACTGACATTGGGAATAGTTTTAAAAAGTAACATTCATTGCTTTAACTCCCAAAATCTGTATCATCTACCTGACAGACTGAATGGAAAGATTACAAATTTTACTTACCCCTGTGCTATCTCCAAACCAAGACAAGGACACTGAGCCGCTGAGATCATCAAACACGTGCTATAAGGGAGGCAAAAAGGGAAAGAAAAAGTTCACTTAGGAATGACATCTACTCTCCTTTAATCTCAGTTTTCCTTAAATAATCTACAACTTTATTACTATTCCAAGTAATGAAGTTTATAATTGGAAGGGGACATATATTCCTAGAACAAAATCTGGAAGATAAGATTTAGCTACTTAACCTGAAACACAAATAACTTGGAAATTTTCATTTTCTGTTATGCAAAGTAAGCCATGCAGCTGACTTTTCTTCACTGCACCAGATGGGGAGATGGGAATAATCTAATTGTTTTTCTCCAACAGAACTAAATATAAAGATATAGCAATGTATTCTTAGAATTATTTTAAACAAGATATCATAGCTCACATTGCCATACATAATTGCAATCCAATCAACATAATTTACATTTTTCTAGGCAGCCTTCAGAGTGTAGCTAAACAGTTATTAGCAGGACTCCTTTTGCTTCTAGTCAAAGTCACTCAGAATGTAAAGGGGCAGAAGCAAGAAGCAAATGCCAGTTTAACTTTTAAACTAAACAGAAGTAATAATAATAGAGTTGGAGACAAGATAAAAAAGTTGGTATTTTGTATCTAAAATTGTGTTAGCTGTTATCAAGGCAATTCCAACAACTGGTGGGGGCCCCGTGAGTTCACAGTAGTTGCTCCATAGGGTTTTCACGGATGTGACCTTCAGAAGCAAGATTGCCAGGCTTGTATTCCAAGGTGCCTCTAGGTGGGTTCATGTAGTTAATTTCATTTTTCACAACTAGTTTTCCAATATTCCTACTCTGTACATCCCATGCTCCAACTATTAGATGCCTGCAGCTGGTTTTCCTCATTTTGACTGGCTTCCAATCTGGGCTCTAACAGGGAGCCCTGCTGCAATTCCAATCTGAGCTCTATTGTTCATAAGGGGTTTTTCCCCCTCCTTTTTTCTTTTGTTCATAAGGTTTTCAGAGACTTGTTATTTCAGCAGTGGATGATAAATGCTGCTTCCTAGTCTTTTACTCTGGGAGTTCTACTAAACCCTGCCCACCATGGGTGATGCCTCTGGCATTTAACACACCAGTGGCATAGCTTTCAGCATCACAGTAACCCACAAGTACAGCAAAAGGACAGACAAGTGATGTACTAATTAGAAAATGATAAACAAGCAAGAACACAGATATCCTGCTACAAAGCAATTAGCAATATGTAGATCAGTCTCCCAATACAACAAACTGACAGGTAAATCTCATAGTTTAGGAGGCCCCAGGTGCAAGTCCTAGGTACTAGCTCTAAGGGAAGGCTTTTTCTCTCTCATGGCTCTGGAGGAAGGTCCTGGTCTCTGAGCTTTTGATTCAGGATCATATTCCTGTGGCTTTGTGTCTCTGCTCTTAAGCAAATCAGACACAAGAAATATCATGGGTGGAGCTTATCTGAGGTCAGTGGTGGTGTGTCAAGATGGTGCCCTGGATGAGTGCTAGAAACTTCCAACTGAGATTCACAGCTAGCAGGTTAATGAAGGCAATCAAATGGGATGTATGAACATTGACATTTTAAGCATTTTTGGCCACTTTAAATCAGGCAATCACATGGTATACTATGCTGGGAATATAAAAAAGAATAAGGATAGTATTGCATTTATTATAAAGACAATTTCAAGTTATATCCTGAAGTATAATGTTGTGAATGACAGGATATTACCCACACACATACAAGGAAGATATTAATGCCATTATTATTCAAATATATGCACCAATGGCTAAAGCCAAAGAGGAAAATGAGGATTTTTTTAAAATATGTTGCAGTCCCAAATTGACCAAACATGCAATCAGGATGCATTAATGACAACTGGTGACTGGAATACAAAAGTTGGAAATGATGAAGGAAGAAAGGAAGGACAAACTTAGTGACAGGAATGAGGCCAGAAATAGAATGATCACATTTTGTACATTCAATGATTTATTCATGGCAAATATCTTTTTAAAAAAAGCACAAGTACCAATTTTACACATGGACCTCACCAGATGCAGACTGACTACATCTATGGAAGAAATCATTGGAAAAGCTCATTATCAGCAGTCAAAATGAGGCCAGGCGCTGACTATGAGATCATCAATTACTTATGTGCGAGTTCAAATTGTACCTGAAGAAGATTAAAACAAGTCTGTGAGACCAAAATATCATCGTGACTCTATTGCATTTGAATTTAAAAATCATCTTAAGAACAGATTTGAAGCATTGAACATAAATGATCAAAGACCTAATGAATTGTGGAGTAACATTAAGGATATCATCCAAGCAGACAGTAAAAGGTCACTACCAAATGGATGTCACAAGAGACCCTGAAAACTGCACTAGAGCATCAAGAAGCCAAAACAAGGGGAAGAGATGCCAAGATAAAAGAGGTGACAGATTTCAAAAGGCAGCTTGGGAAGGCAACACAAATTATAACGAATGTGCAGAGACCTAGAACTGGAGAATAAAAAGGGAAGAACATGCTCAGGATTTCTCAAGATGATCATCACTCTGAAAAACAAATTCAAGCCTCGAGTTGCAATACTTTGGGATGCTGTGGGTAAAACTGTGAATGGTCCAAGAAACCAAGAAGCATCAAAAGAACATGGAGGGGATATACAGAGAGAGAGTCATTGTACAAAAAGAACTGGCTGACACAGACATATTTCAGGAGTAATATATGATCAAGCGTCAATGGTAATGAAGGAAAAATGTCAAGTTCTACTGAGGCATCAGGAAAAAAATAAGATCCTAAGATTGATGGGATGCCAACTGACATTTTTCAAACAGACCAATCCATGCCAGGAAATTTGGAAAACAGTTGTCTGGTCGACTAATTGGAAGAAGTCCATATCTGTTACCATTTTTAAGAAAGGTGATCCAACAGAATGTGGAAATTATAAAAAAATACCACTAATATCACATTCAAGCAAACTATTACTGAAGGTCACTGAAACACGACTAGAGCAGTACATAGACATAGACAAAGAACTGCCAGAAGTTCAAGCTGGATTCAGAAGAGGTTGTGGCATCAGGACTATCATTGCTGTTGTCAGATGGATCCTGGCTGAAAGTAAAGAATACTAGAAGAAAGTCTATTTGTGCTTAATTGACTATACAAAAGCATTTGGCTGTGTGGATCACAACAAGTTATAGCTAACATTGAGAAGAGTAGAAATTCTAGAACACTTGATTATGCTCTTGCAAAACTTATACCTAGACCAAGAGGCTATTGTACAAACAGAGCAATTGAACTCTGTATGGTTTACAATTAGGAAAGATGTGTGTCAAAGCTGTATCGTTTCTCCATATCTATTTAATCTGTATGCTGAACAAACTATTTGAGAAGCTGGGCTCTATGAAGAATGTAGCATCACTGGAGGAAGACTCATCAATAAACTGTGTTATGTGGACACATATCTTGTTTCCTGAAAGTGAGGAATAGTTGAAGCACTTGCTGAAGAAAGTTAAACATCATAGCCTTCACGATGGATTGCATCTCAAGATGTCAAGAAAACAAAAATCCTCATCAGTGAACCGATAGATCGCATCCTAATAGAGAAAAAAAATACTGAAACTGTCAACAACTTCATCTTACTTGGATCCACAAAACACTTGGTACCAGCCAGCAGTAATTAGGTGTATCGCAGGGGAAAAGTCTGTAGTCAGGGATTTCTCCAAATTATTGAGGAGCTATGATGTCAATCTGAGGACTAAAGTATGTCTGATTTACACTATGGTCTTTTCACTCACTTGCTATGCATCTGAGAGCTGGACAATTAACAGGGACAGCAATAGATGCCTTTGAAATAAGATGCTCAAGAAAAGTACTGAAGATCCCATGAACTGTCCAAAGAACAGACATATTTTGGAGAAGGGGCAGTCAGAGTGCTCTTTGGAGGCAAAAACAATGAAGCTTCATCTCATATACTTCAGGCATGTTGCTAGGAGAGGTTATTCCTTGGAGAAGACATCATGCTTGGAAAGGTGGAGGTCAGAAAAGGAGAGGAAGACCCTCAACCAGATGGACTGACATAGTGCAGCAATGGGTTTGAGTGTGGCAGGGATTGTGAGGATGGCACAGTATAAGGCAGGGTTCAGATATGTTGTTCACAGGGTTGCTATGAGTCATATTCAACTCGATAGTACCTAACAAGAGCAACAATAACAACTACTAGGTGAGTGTGAATCACCAACCTTTTGGCTAGTAGTTGAGCATTTTAATCTGTTGAGCATGTAAAACTATAACTGTTAATGGTCATTATAGGTGTTTTGGGGTTGCTGCATTTCAAATACTTCCTGTACCTATTTATGCAATACTATGTGCTTATTACAGAAAAAAGGAACTTGGACAGCATGGTACATAATATGTCAGGATACTAACTGAAAGTAAGTGGTTCAAATTTACCAATTACAGGAAAAAGAAGGGCAGTTTCTTCCTCTATTGATGTATAGCCTCTGAAACCTGTGAACCATTGCAATGAGTCAGACAAGACTCAAGTCAGTCACAGTGAGGTAGAGGATTAGAAGAAATGTCTTTATATGACACAAATAAGTAAGCACTCAACTACTAGCCAAAGGTTGATAGTTCAAATCTATCCACAATGACCTTGGAAAATCTATTTTCAAAAGGTCACAACATTCTAAAAGGCTGAACACAATGAAACTTGAGAATATGCTGAATGAAGTCAGTAAGACATAAAAAAACAAATAATGTATAATGCCACTTTTTTCCCCTCTTTTTTTAAAGAATTTTTATTTTTATTTATTTTTTTTATTGGTAAAAACATATTGGGGGTACAAGGAGGTGAGGGCTGGGGGCAGAAGGGTGAGGATGGGCCAGGATGCAGTTGCAGAGCTGCACAGTTTGGTCAGTGGGGGGAGCAGGTGAAGGAAATGATGAGGGTCCAGAGG